GCTGCCTGCTGGAGGAGGCTCTGCTCGGGTTTGGAGCGAGTGGCTATAGGTTGTAGTGCAGTCCATAGGTGGAGGAGGGCCCGTATGGCTGACTGCTTGGGCATGAATCTCTGCTACGGCGTGAGCAGCTTCTTCCAGGTCCTCTGAGCTGAGCCAGCAGGGAACCTTGCTGCTTATTTATTTACTTGTTTACGACTTTAAATAGTTCATGGTTGAGCGGGGCAAAAAGAAACGCATTCTGCTTGCTGAAAGTCTGGTGGGCAAACAGAAAGTGCCGGCTTCGGTTCATGGGATTTGGGCTCTTTGTTGGTGTTTAGCCAACCTTTACGGTCCTGGGAGAGCACTTCAATCCTGTAGTTTTGCCCTTCTAAGCAGAAATGATTCTTGATCCCCTGAAGTCCCACTGGGGAACATCTTATTCACTCTCAAATATTGTCCTCTTGAAAGGCAGCAGCATCTCAGCTGGTGATTCCCTGCAGATAATGAGTGAAATTGGAGATTTGTGGAGAGCCTTCTGGTTGAAGATGGAGAGGGGTACCCCAAGCGAAGCTAAATATAGTCCATCTATCAATAGTCCTTCTGAGCTGTCCTCTCACATGCAGTTCTTTTGTGATTGAGGACCAGGGCCTGATACAGCTTCAAAGTTCTCCTAAATGACCCGTACCAGCTCCCTATAGCAGGACTCCGACATGGCCACCCATCAGCCTGGGAGGGACAGGAGAACTGTGGCCATTTTTTGGGTGGGGAGTTTGCCCAGCTCTGCGGTTTTGATTTTTCCCCGTGTTCTCTTTGCCAGCTTTGTCCTGTCCAGAGAGACTGCTGGGGTGTCTTCTTCATAAGCTGAGACCCGAGGGGTCTTTTCTGCCTGAGCCAACTCTTACCCTCCTTCGGGGTTGTCGTCTGCCCTGTGTGGGTGAGTGGAAGGATTTCCAAAGCGCCTTTATCTTGTTCTGCTAGAAAAGTCCTATGTTTCCTGTATCTGCTGTACGAAGGCTGCAGGCAGCCAGGGGAATATTAAAGCCAGCAGACAGCGTTGGATAGCTGTCAAAAAGCTGATGCCCTCTGCCCTCATCCATATGGAAGAAGGGTTATCGTCTGTCTCTGTGTGCAGTAAGGTCCTTCTAAAAGGCTATGCAGGAGATACAAATTATTTCGATAACCGCCTTTCAAAGGAAAAAAAAATATGAATGCAGTGTGGAGAAATCCAAGACCCAGTTTGTTCAGGTCGAGCCTTCTGCTGTTCGCATTGGTGTGTCTGTTCTCGTGATAGCTTCCTGCGCGATGGAAGATGCAGCTGTGAGCTCCGATAACCCCCTGAGCTCTCGCAGAGCAGGTGGGAGCTTGGCAGGAGCCACTGACAGGTTTCTTTGTGTAAAATATTCCTCGTTCGGAGTGGTTCCGTGTTTTTCTCTTTAGCTCAGTAGCTGGATAAGGGAAGGGCGGAATGTGGTAGGGGCCAAATTCTGCTCTGCGTGCACGTGCTACTGAGAAGCGCCCGTAAGAGCCCATGTCGAGGGTCCAGCCTGTTCATCGCTGCAGTCAAACATCGCTTAAATTGAAGCTTAAATCATTTGTGCACGTCATGAAAAGTGTAGAAGATCCTTTTAGTTACAGGCTTCTCAGGTTCATAAGGCTGCTGGATTTTGGAAGGAACCCATCAGATGAAATAGCTGCTGCCTGCAGTTTCTGTTCATCTGATAGGGGTGGGATGGTGCCAAGGTCTCGGGTAGACCGAGAGACGTGGTGGGGTGTGTTTGGCGGGGGGAGGATTAGGACCTGCCACTTCTCTGCTTGTGCCCAGCTACAGTAAGCTTCAAGAAGCCCTCAAGACAAGCTGTTTGGAAGTTGCTGAAAACCACGAGCAAGCCTTGCTGGTGGGATGGCTGCACACCAGGGTTCAGAGGCTGCTTTCGTTTCAGTGTACTGGTCTGTCAAGTCTGGGTGGTCAATGACCAGTAACATCCAGTGTCATAACCCGGCTTCAGGAGACCCCAACTAAAGGGGCCGTGGCTGTGGCCTTATTAGCTTTCAGGCTTGCTGGGGACCAACTGGTGCCTGTCGTGGGACAAGGCGATGTGAAGAACAGTCTGAATGGGGGCTGGACTGGAACCTGCTGACTTATTCCCGGGATGCTTTGCAGGACCCATTGGATAGAAATATTATTTGGTTACCCAGTGCCTTGGGCAAGATTGTCTGATGTAGGAAGCCTGAGATATTTTATACATATATACATATGTGTGTGTGTGTCTGTGTGTATATATAAAGTGGGTCTGCTGCAGCTCTTACGTAGACATTTTTCATTTCCAAATGACCTGCTCCTTCCATTCAGAGTGGTGATTTTTCTAATCTTAGTGTCAGAAAAAAAGATGCTGCCTTCCTGCCATCTTTTTGTTTCCATAGGTGTCCTGTACAAATTGCTTAATTTTTTGGGCATAAGCGAATCAAAGGTTAACATTGAGCAGCTGACCTGAGCTGTGAGCAAAGAAAGCCGTAGCAGCTGCAGGGTGGTTTCTGAGGTTTCAGGAATAGGAACCGAAATCAATAGCTTTTATCAGACTCATAAATGTTTCATTTGTATTCCTCGCTTCGGCGCTATCGAGCTTTGACACGGGAATCCATATAACCTCTTAAATTAGCGTTGTCCCTGCTCTGGGTGTGGGTGTTGGAAACCATTTCCCTCAGATGCACTTCAAAGCGTTGCTCCGTAATGGCATTTTCCTTCCTGTTTTGGAGCCTTGAACTCCACGCAGCCTCCCATGACGAGCGAAATGAGCTTGGTGGCCTCAACCCCAGGCCGCGGGGATTTTTTTGGCGATGGGCAGGCAACCCGAATAGCTGCTGCAATGCTGCTGCCCCGGCTCGGGGACCAAACGGGAGTTGTGGCTGCTTGGGTTTCTGTCCCGGGACGCGCCGAGAGACCTTTTCCCTGGAGTGCGACACAGCCCTGAGGAACACCAACCGCAGTAATTCGCGGCAGGGGGTGGGGAAGGAGGGACCTGCCCACAACTATTTGTCGAATTTGGACTGGTTTGGAGGGGCTGGAGAAGCTAGGGGGGTAGGAAGAGCCTGAGTCAGGCGGCTTATCTGGCCATCCGCCTCCGCTTGAGGTCATCCACCCGTGGAGCGTGGGAGGGTTGCGTGACTCCCGGTCTCCAGCAGGTCGGGGCTGCGACACGCCGGCAGCCTGGGAGCGCGGCGTCTGAGCTTTTAGCATGTCGTGATTTTTCCCCGGGACCCCGAGCGCCGGGGGGACGGTGGTGAGCCCAACCTAGCTGGGGAGGACAGGGCTGATCTGTGGAGCTTGTGCTTGCAGGGGAGAGAGACCCTCGGGGAGCCTCAGGCTGTGAAGAGCAAGTTAAAAAGCTGATCGAACAACGCAAAGAACCCAACCAAACCCCCTTCCCCAACTATATCCGTATGGCTAATTACTGATTGCTAAACAATTAGGTGGCTGGAGCGGGGTGCCGTGGGATTTCAGCCCTGGTGTCTCCAGCCCGCAAAGCAAAACTGCGGTGGTTTTGGCAAGAGCAGGTAGAAAAGGGATAGAAAAATAGCGTTGGGTGAGAGAGAAGATGTAGCAGAGCCGGAGAGTGTTTCTCAAGCAACCCCTTTTTCCCGTGAATTAGGCCCATTCTCCCCAGCTTGTAGCCGGTCCTCGTGGCTGCCTTGTGGGGGCAGGGAAGCTGAGCTGAAGGCGGCAGCCCCTGATGCTCCTCTGCATCCCCACAGGGACCTCCCTGCCCTGAGTGCCGAAACGCTCCCGGGACAGTTCAGACACCCCCCCGGCCCCGAGCTCTGTGACTTGCCCCCATCTTTAGCCCATTTAATGGGCTCGCCTGTCTGCAAACTCCACTTGTAGCCAGAGAGAGTCTCTTTTACTGAAAAATCGATGTCACCTGGTGGAGTGCCTGCGATGGCTTTGCTGTGTCTGCGCTCAGAGGGGCCGTCGCGGAGGCACCGCAGACTGACCCCATTTTTTTCTCTATTTTCAGGCTCATTTTTCAAGCTTCAGGACAGTCGTGCTGCCAACTTCAGTACTGACTTGCTGCTGTAAGAGAGGACTGGATGCGTGTCTGTCTGTCTACTTTAGTTACACGGGGGGCAAAACAGAGCTGGCTAAAATATTTTTGGAGCAAATGACTTGGATTTTATCATCTAAGTGCTATTAATTTGATTGGTCCAAAGGGTTTTTCTTCCACAGGCAAGCATAGGTATCAGGTAGCACTTAAATGAAATATTAGCTAATAAAAGCCTTGTGTTTGCTTCTGCCTGTCTGTTAAAAAGCATAATTTAGCTGTCCCTTTTGCCTTATTCTCTGATGTGAATCTCTCCTGCAAAACGTTTTAGTCATTTGAAGTGTTTGGTGAGTTTTGTCGACAAAAAGCTACAATGAAAGGGTTTGGTAAAATTTGTTCAAAACTTTTGGCTTTTGCTGGTAGCTAAATGTTCCATAAATAAAACCTGTAGCAATCGCCTTTCCTAAACCTGCCATAATCTTCATGAAAATAAGAAGCCAAACGTGATTTCTGCTGAGCCAAGAAAAGACCGATGCCCTTTCTCCTGGATAGACTCTCTTAATGCTGTTTTCTAAGGAAAAATAACTCTTCTGCGGTTTGCCAATACCCTCCAGGGGCCGTTGAGACAATTTACCATCAAGTTTGGGGTTTGATTGCCTCATTTTGTTGCTCCGTTGCTGAAACCAAAGTGCAGAGTTTCCCCCTTCACCCCGCTCTGCCTTCCCACCCTGCTCAGCCCGAGTTAAAAATTTGGAGGATGTGAGGGTGCAGGAGGCGTGGGCTCTGCAAGCCAGGGTGCAGGAGCACCCTTTTGGGATGCGGGACGCCTTTTTGGGGTGTCACCCGGTACTTCACGTTTGAGGTCCATTGACAGCGTACCAGGGTTGGATAGCAAATGCGTATATTCTCCGTGCCATACGTCGATAAGGACAAGAGAATAATGGCTTTTCTGTTTGTTTCTCTGCAGGCAAGAGCTCTGTCACCATGTCAGTCAGCGTCCACGAGAACCGTAAATCCCGGACTAGCACCGGCTCCATGAACATCTTGCTTTTTCACAAAGCTTCCCACCCGGACTGCGTCTTGTCCCATCTGAACACCCTGCGGAAGCACTGCATGTTCACCGATGTCACCCTCTGGGCAGGAAACAGGTCATTCCCATGTCATCGGGCAGTGCTGGCTGCCTCCAGCAGATACTTTGAAGCCATGTTTAGCAACGGCCTCCGGGAGAGCCTGGATGATGAGGTGAACTTCCACGACAGCCTCCACCCGGAGGTGCTGGAGCTACTGCTAGATTTTGCTTATTCCTCTCGGATCATCATCAATGAGGAGAACGCGGAGTCTCTCCTGGAGGCTGGAGACATGCTGCAATTCCATGATGTCAGAGATGCAGCAGCTGAGTTTCTGGAGAAAAACCTCTACCCTTCCAACTGCCTGGGCATGATGCTGCTCTCAGATGCTCATCAGTGCCGGCGGCTCTATGAGCTCTCCTGGAGGATGTGCCTGGTCAACTTTGAGACTGTTCACAAGAGTGAGGACTTCAACAACCTTTCCAAGGACACTCTGCTGGACCTCATCTCCAGTGATGAGCTGGAAATTGAGGATGAAGAAAAGGTCTTTAAGGCTGTCATCCAGTGGGTGAAATACAATCTGGATGAGCGGAAGGCTTATCTCCCAGAACTTCTGAGGAATGTTCGTCTGGCCTTGCTTCCTTCTGAATGCCTCAAGGAAGCCTTGGCTTGTGAGGACTTGATCATGGTGGATGAAAGGAACAAGCTTGTCTTGGATGAAGCTATTCAGTGCAAGAAGAAGATCCTCCAGAATGATGGGGTGGTCACCAGTCCCTGTGCCAGGCCTCGCAAAGCTGGGCATACCTTGCTGATCCTGGGAGGACAGACCTTCATGTGTGATAAGATCTACCAAGTGGACCACAAAGCAAAGGAAATTATCCCCAAAGCGGACCTGCCCAGTCCACGGAAGGAGTTTAGCGCCTGTGCCATCGGCTGCAAAGTATATATCACTGGAGGCAGGGGCTCGGAGAACGGGGTCTCAAAAGACGTATGGGTGTATGACACTGTTCATGAGGAATGGTCAAAAGCTGCCCCAATGTTAATAGCTCGGTTTGGGCACGGCTCGGCTGAATTGGAAAACTGCCTGTACGTGGTTGGTGGACACACTGCAGTAGCTGGAGTCTTTCCTGCGTCTCCTTCTGTTTCCTTGAAGCAAGTAGAGAAGTACGATCCCATATCCAACAAATGGACAATGGTGGCTCCTTTGAGAGATGGAGTGAGCAACGCTGCGGTGGTGAGCGCCAGGCTCAAGCTTTTTGTCTTTGGTGGGACCAGCATTCACCGAGACATGGTGTCCAAAGTCCAGTGCTACGATCCAGCTGAGAATCGGTGGATGATCAAAGCCGAATGCCCACAGCCCTGGCGCTACACGGCAGCCGCTGTCCTGGGCAGCCAGATTTTCATCATGGGAGGAGACACCGAGTTCACGGCAGCATCTGCGTACCGCTTCGACTGCGAAACGGACCAGTGGACGCGCATTGGGGACATGACAGCCAAGCGTATGTCATGCCACGCTTTGGCCTCGGGGAATAAACTCTATGTGGTGGGGGGTTACTTTGGGACTCAGAGGTGCAAAACGCTGGACTGCTATGACCCTATGTCGGACACGTGGAACTGTATCACAACGGTGCCTTACTCGCTCATCCCCACAGCTTTTGTCAGCACCTGGAAGCACTTGCCATCATGATGGGGGTCAGGGCACGAGGGCTTGTGTCCAGGAGGTCAATAAGGTAAGGGTCTCCTCCTCTTAAACCGAAACTTGCTTTCTTGCCTCAATTGCCTCTCCACACACCGCGCCGAAGCCACAGGTTCCAGGTTACTCATGTTTTAGGAGAAGGGTGCATTTAAAGGTGGGATGCAGCACCAGAAAAAAGTAATCAGCTGTGTTGTGTTGTAAGTCTAGCTAGCTCCAAGGTTTCTGTTGTTTCCACATGGTCCACTCAGTATCTTAAGAGATACATCCACATAAATGGCTGCAATCAGGCCACAGCTCCTCTCCCTCTGCTGTGAGCTAGCTGGATGTGCCAGCATCACCCTTCTGTGTGTGGGTGGGTATGGGAGAGCAGATGCCTCCACGCCTGCTCTCATGGCTGCCACCACTGAACACATCCTGTCTGCATGCAGTTGAGCGGATTACGCTTTCTTAAAGCGCTTACATATGAGTCCTGGGGGATACCAGGGCAACAAGTGCTTTGGAAAAAGTCTCAGTAGTTCAATATTTGTGCTGGGTATCGGGGTGATTTATTCAGAATGTGTAGGCAACTGACCCTTGGGATGCCAGCAAATCCTGGATCTCTTTTTATGCTCTGTATTTACATCTTTTTGTGCTCCGTATTTACATTTCGGTGGGTAGCAGAAGCTTAGAAGCCATGGTGCATTTGATGGTCCTGGTGTTTATGTAACATCCAAACTATTGCATGTTAAATCAGAACTTCTGAGACTTCTGTGTGAGACCTGAGTGGGAGGGAAGGGGTTTTGTAACCAGAAGAAGAATGTGTTTATCGGTGTTTTGGGGTGTGTGAGAATAAGATAGTTGGTGGAAACTCATGATGTCCTGTCTCATTCTGGTGCTCCAGTTCTTACTTGCTCAGAGAAGGTGCTATTGCAATGCCACCTGGACAGGGCTGTTGGTTCCTCCTCTCTCCTCCCTAGTAGGATGCTTTGTTGCCATTCTGGTTACCAGCTTCACTCCACAGAGCTTTGCATGTCTTCACCAGTCTGTGCCGAGATGCAGCTGGCCAGGCAAAGGCCAAAATCTCTTCTCGCCTTGCATCATGAAAGCAGATATTGATATGGGCAACCCTTGGGTAGCATCATCTTCCCGGGAAGTCCATAGCACCTCTGCTAGCTCAGTCTGCAGGTTTCCAAGTGCTGGCAACACACGCAGCCCTGCTTTGGTGGTTGGAGACTACCTCCCAGCTAGCTGAAGGAGCTGGGGAACCCTTGCGTACGGGGGCGGGATTCACAAGCATCACTTATGGTTTTATTTGGAAGGTGGGGACTGTGGGGAGGGAAATTCTTCCACAGACTCATCAAAATCCACTTCACTTAATACAGGGAAGAAAGAATGCTGCCCAAACCCTCTACCACCCTCTCACTTCCCTGCATCCCACTTGGTGTGGTTGGTGCGCCTGGGAATAGCCCAGCGGGTGAAATTACTGGCATCTCCCAGTGATCATCTCTTTTGATGCCAGCTGGGAGCTGAGGAGGAGCTCCTGGCACCTCTGCTGGGCATTTGCCCAACGTGACCACCTGCTTTTCTCAGGTGGAAAAAATAGAAAAAGCATTATGCTGCCCTTTGATTTGCGAAACACCTGGTTTTAACATGGGTTGGACCACAGTGAGGGCAGGGCAGGAGTGGAAAGGGTTAAAATGAGATCTCCGAGAGTTTCCCCAGCACTGGAAGATAATGGCCTTTCCAAATTCTCCTCCTCAGGCGTTGCCTAGCATCTGTCACAGTGGCTCAGTAATCTAATTAACTATTAAATATTGCAGCAAAAAGCGTGAGGACTCCATCATTTTCAACTCAGGTCAATGGGGCCTCCCTTTAAGAGTCATCCTAGAGCTGAAAATTAATTTTCTCTGGTAGCAGATGTATCTGAATATTAAGGCTCAACACCAGCCACACTGCTGGGAATAGAAATAGGGAATATTTTGAGGTGGGAGTCGATCCTTCAGCCATGGAATAAAAAGCAGTCTCTGAAGACACAGATGTTATTTTTCTCTCCTACCTTTTTCCCCTGTACTGTATTTGGGTTGTTCAGACTGAATAAACAGCTTTGTGGGGGTTATATAGATTTTTTTTTTTTCCCCCCTGTAATCTGGAGTCTGGCACAAGCACAAGAAAACTAAGAATTGTAATATGCCAACCTGCAAATAAAACTGGTGAAAAGTCACTGTGTGAGGGTTTTATGTGCTTTTTTGGCTTTGCTTCCACTCTTCAGTTACAAGAAGTATTTAAAATATACATGAGTTCTTGCCAGACAGAATGTCTCTTCACTTCGTTTTTCTAGAGTGTTTTTTTTTTTTTTTAATCTAAACAAAAACCCCTGAAGTTATTGTCACAGCCTCAGCCGCTGTGACAGCTCCTTAAATAAAGCACCAAGACTGGTGAGTGAAGGCCAGACCCGAATGTGTTGTCCCTGCTCCACCAACCGTGTCCCACACGCTTGCCTTGGCTGTCCGGGCTGCACCGATGCCAAAACTGGGCTCAGGAACTGGAGTAACTGGCTATAGGGTCCTATGACCACCCTGTCATCCTACAGCAGGTCTGGCCAAGGGATCTTCTGGTCTTAGGCTCCCACCATGTGAGGTCTCTGCGGCAACATCCATTTTGGCCCCTATGGGATCCTTCTTCAAGAAGGGGCACCCAGAAGGCAGGTTGGGCAGCACGTGCCCGGGTGCTGCTGTGCTTTGCAGTGCTAATCCTATGGGAACCTCCTGCAGCTGGAGAAGGCTCAGAAGGGACCATCCAAGGTGTCCTGGGAGCAGAGCAAGCTGGGCTGGTGGGGAAATGTCTGAGCAATGGCATGGTAGGAAATAGTACTTTGTACTCATGAAAAAAAAGACCAACAACCTTCTCACCTATAAACTGGTGAGGTTGCATTCATACCAGCCCTGAAACCCAAATAATACGTCCTTGAAAAATGCTGATCATAAAACCCCAAGCCTGCTTTTCGTTCAAAGCATAAAACTGATCAGCTGGAAACGTTCCCTCACGGGCATGATGGCCTTCACCCTTCCCAGCTGGAGCCAGGGCACCTTTCCGCAGAGGTCCCAGGGCCCCTGCCAAGGATGCCGTGTGACATTAATTTAGTGCTTATTGCTGGCAGTTAATTCCAGGGATCAAGCGTGATTAGCAATATGAAACGTGAAAGCCCGATCTCCTCCCACCCACGGTGTGGTGGAGCGACGAGGAGGCACATCATTACAAAAGGGAAATAAAACACTGAGCACTCAGCTAATAAAGCCTCTCTGTGTTTTTAAACACAAGCAAAGCCCAGCCAGGAGCTCGGGGGGACGATGCGGGGTGGTCTGTTGCAGTCCTGTGCTGTGACAATTGATGGGGACAACTCTACACCTCCCAGGGGGTGACTTCAGGCGGTGACGGGAATGAGTTTTCCAACCTGCCTGTCTCCAAATTAAGAGTGGCTTCTCCAAACTACCTGTCCTGTGTGAGGCTCTCGTTTTCATGGGGCAGAATTGCAGATGGGCTTGGGCCGGAGAGTGGAGCCTTCACCTGAGGGTTGGGACGGTCACTGGGGATGAGGGAGCAGCAGGTTGCATCATCCAGCGGCGGCAGAGGAGATGGGGAGGGAAGTCACTGCATCCCTTTTTGATGGCTCCTGAGCCGCCAACGCTCCCCTGGGGTGGACATGTCAGAGCTCCCACCTCAAAACAAATTTGGGATGAGCCAAACCCGGTAGCAGCTGGCAGCCAGGGGGTCCCCTCCCAGTGCCTTTCAGCGTCTGCAGGACCCTCCTCATGGTCTGGGCTGGAGGGAGAGGAGACTGGTGGCCACGCACTGCTCAGGCACTTATTCCTGGGGCTCATCCGAAAGCACAGAGCCCATTCCGGGGCTCCCACCAGAGCTCTTTGGTGGGTTTGTCTCCCGCAAAGGCTGCGGGGCGGCACCAGCAGCTGGTGCCCATCCTTGGGTGGGCACCGCGTGGCCCAGGCTGCAGGTCTGGGGGCAGCTCTGGCACCTAAAAGTTGAACTTCGGCCCCGAAGCTCCTGCGAGGGTTTAGGCAGCGTGCCAGGCTGATACTCCGTGTCCTGATACCGCCGTCACGCTCCACGTCAGCTCTGTTCAATGGCTTTTCCTGTTTATTTAATTACAGCTTCACTAACAAAACCTTTTGCAAAGGTGGCTTTGCTGATGCCGGGTTTGGTTTCCCTTCCACGTGGCGCGGCGCTCGGTCAGCTTTTCCTTTGCATGAAGCTGTAGGGTTTTGTTGCCGTCCATTGCTCCCGCCTCCCGCCGCGCTGAGCCCTGCTCGCAGCCGGACATCTTCCTACGCGACAGCCCCAGCTGCCTGCAAACAGCATCCTGAAAAAAGCAAAAAAAAAAAAAACCAACAAAAAAACCCAAACCATCCCAAATGAGGATAATCTCCGGGCTCCTAAACGCCGCAGCTCACCTGCCTGCTGCTGGGTTGGTTGCTCGCAACCTGTTAGAGCTTCGCCGGTATTGCCGGAGCGAAGTCACAGCTGGTTTCTCTGGGTGGCTCCTGGGGAAAACCCATTTGCATGGATATAATAGCCAGGCCGGATAAACAGGGATGGCAGTTTTCTTGCCTCTGCTGCGCTTTCCAAGCAGCTGGTTGTCTCCGAAGCCAGTTTATCAGGCAGCGTTGGAAGGGAGTGGTTGGCCTGGGGAGGAAAGTCGATGAAAATCAGGCTTTTCCTAACCCTGGGCAGATGGAAACATGTGCAGTCTGAACTCAGCCCCAGACTGGATTAATCAACCCCTCGGAAACATCAGTCGTATGGATGGGTTTGGAGGAACCGGTGGAAAAAGAGAAACAGGGTCTTTTTGTTTTGTCTCATCCAGTTCTTGGGCCCTCCTCCCCTGCCTTCAAAAAAAAAAAAAAAAGTTAAAAGCTCCATTTCCCTCAACTTTTCATTCCCTTGTCGCATCCACGGAGGTTTCCTGGCCGGCTCTGCCCCGCTCCCCGTGCTCTGAGCCCTCTCCAGCTGAACACCCTCTCTCTCCCCTCTCCCGTGAAAGCAAAGGACACCCCAAACCCCAAACAAACCAACCGCTTTCCACCTCCACCCGTCCCCCGGGGTATGGGCAGGGGGTTACCCCAATAGCTGCCAACGTGCAACCCCTTTTCTGGTGCTCCCCTGAGCATCGTGGCTGTTAATGAGCTTTCTCTTTCCCTCCCCAGGTGCCAGAGTCACATCCATGTCCCCTGTCTCGCTACCAGAGCCAACACAGCGACCGAGTCCCCCTAGCCCCCCGTCGGTCCAAATCGCGGGTATGGCGAGGAGCCGGGGGTGCTGGCTGCCGGGCTGGGGCTGGGGGCACGGGGATGGCTTGTGGGTGCCGGTGGCTGGGTGGGACTGGGGAGATGGAGGGTGCACACCGGGCTGCATCCCCCAGCCAGCACAGCACGGGGAGCCGTTAGATGCTTTTTGTTACTCGGTTGGGGGGGTGGCGGTTAAGAGATATTAATTTTTTAAAAAAAAAAGCAAGGAACGTGCCATTGGCGATGGCTGCATTTTGGGTGACTTGGAAGTGGTTTTTTTAAAGGGAAAAGGGGCTGAGGCAGCCCAGCAGAGAGCACCCGGCTCTCCCCAGCCTCTGGCCGCTCCGCGGAGGCGATGGCTGTTGAAACATTAAAGCGTGGGAGCCCGGGGCGGCTGCCAGCAGTGCCGGGTACTGTGGCAAAACAGGGCAGGTGCCTTTTGTTTTGTACTTTGGGCCTTTTTATTGCGCCTCGCGCCCCGCAGCTGCCGGGAAGAGCGCGGCGGCTCTGTTGGCGTGCCAAGGCAGCGGCCCCGCTGCCGAGATATTCGCCAGATAAAACCCTCTCGCCGCGTGCTCAGAGCCGGTCTTCTGAGTTTCCCCACCGCGCTCGCCGCCGAGCAGCGCGTGGGTGAGGGCGTAATTAAGCAAATGAGCAGAAACAGCGAGGTGCAGCGGGGCTGAGGGGGAGCGTCGCCAGGGTGGGATGGGGAGGGATCCCCCTCCTTCCCGCCGCCCCGCACATCCTCGCTTCACCTTGGAGAGATGGGAGCAGTTTTGCCAGCATGTTGCCCGCCAGCGGTTGGGCTGTAGCCGCCCCAGGTTATCCACGCATGCCGGCTGCTGGCTGTATTTGGGTTTATCCACGCTGTCAGCCTGCGTCGCTCCTGTGGAGGAAGGCGCGTGGATTTAGGCCAGGGATACAGGGATGCAGCTCCTGGCTGGCCCCTTCCAGGGCTGGCCACTGCTGAAGGCTGGTCCTGCACCGCCCCAGCATCCCGCTTCCCTCCGCAGCAGATCTGGTCCTGCAGATGCTCCGGGCTTGCCTTTCGCCCCTGGATTAGGTTAAGCTGAAGCCCGGCCAGCTGAATGATGCAATGCCATGAAAAGCCTTGACATGGCTTCAAACAACAAAGGTCTTTTCGGAGCAGCGAGTGCCCGTTGCTGCCGGGAAGAACATCCTATGTGCACAGCCAGTCTGCGATGCTCTGGATGACGTATATTTACATTTTCTAAGGTTGGTTGTTTTTTTTTTTTTTCCTCCAGCTGCCTGCGAACTTTAATAAAAATGATGATCTGGGAAACCATTTGTGTGTTTTTCACAGGAGTCTTCATTCTTAAGCAGGTTGGATTTAGGTCTAATAACAGGGCCGAGGAGTAATAACAGGGTTGGCACCGGGCTCGGCGGTTCACAAACAGCCTCCTGAGCAACCAGCCGGTCTGTAATTATTGTTGCTTCAGCGCCTGGGAAACTGAGGCACAACGTCAAGTGTCTGGTCCAAGGTTAGTGGTAGATCTGGGAATAAAGTCCAGGGCTTCTCGCAGCCTGAGGACATCGCGTGCCTCCTTCCCCACAGCCGCTCCTCACTCCACTTGACCGTGACGTGATTTTTAGGAGAACTTGCAAGTCTGTCACGCTAATATCTGCCAAATAGGTTGCGGGGGCCCAACCCAGACGCAGCCGTACTCCTGCAGGGAAAGCCAGTAATTTCTAAGGGAGACGAGAAGAATTTATACTTCTGTTTTCCTTATTCGCCTTCGCTTGGCTGCTGCGGCTCCCAAGAAAGGGGCCCATTGACAGGCGAGATGGGCTTTCCAGCTGGGGAACGCTTCTCCTTCATGCGTGTCTCTCCCCATCCTGGAGGAGCGGGGGGCTGATCCAGCCCTGCTCCGGGAAGGCTCTGGGGTCTCCCTCGCTACGAGACCAGCAGCTCTGGCTTTGCTCAGGACCGTGAGCGCAGGAGCATCGCTCGGAGCAGCTGGTGGGGCTTGCGAGAAATACATGACCAGTGTGCAGGTTCATATTTGCCTCCTCTTATTGAGGTGGGCTTGAGAAGCAGAGCTTCCTACGGGCGTTGTGCATGGTCTCAAAGGGATTTGGAGCCTGAATTTCTGAGCTGTAAAGGAGACTGGGAACGTTTCCCCTTGCCCACAGGAGCCGGATGGGCGACAGCGTTAGCCGACGTGAGCTGGGAAGATATGAGGGTAAGGGTCCATTGAAAAAGCTCATTAAAGAACCCTTTGGGAAATCATTTCGGGGTAGAAATTACTGTTTGATGAGCAGGAGAGGGGAAAAAGAGAGGGAGTGTGTGAATGAAATCCCTTTCAGTTTTGTTGATTCGGGACTCTGGGACTTAAATACCAGCACGGGAGGCTTTGGGACTGGCGAGCTTTGATAGGAGCCATGCAAAGACCTGCTCTTTTGTATTTATTCTGGAGCTTGCCTGAAAGACAATTCAAAAGCAATCAGCAGCTGCTGTGACAGCAGCAACCTGTTGCTATGGAATTAAATGCGATGCAAAATACAAAGGTTTCTTGGTTAGCAGCAACAAAGTAAAGGGGGAGTGGGAGATGGAAACGGATGCAACAGTCAGAATAAAGCCACAGCCAGAGCGGGGCTGGGTTTGAACTGGGAGGTACAGGGGGAGAAATGTAAACCTGATTTGTTTTGCTTTTTTTTAAAAGAGCTTTTTTGCCATCTCAGCAGGCCAAGCTCAGCTTCGTCTGGGTGGGAGTGCTT